TCACTGCCCCCTGATAAGTGGTAAAACGCATTCAGCTAGATATGAGATTACACAGCATTCTGTATTAACCTTTGTCTAGTAATGGAAGTAAAATATGAGTGTGTGTATTGTCTTTTTTTTCCTTTTTCTCTCCCTCTTTTCAAAGGAAGCGGATTTCTAAATTTATCTCGTAGACTTCCCTTACGTTAAACCCACGAGAACAGTTACTCTCTAGGCACGCTTGTATTCATTTTAAAGTATGTTTACCACTGTTAATCTAATACTTGTGTAACTAACAATCTGCTCACTCCATTATCAATAAATGAATAGCTGATGTTTCAATGTGTTTTACCTGAGTCTTATATATATCAACAATAATAAAGATAATAATCCAGGAGTTAATGCAAAGCTAATTTGTCAAGCTATCGCATTCTGTTTCTTAGAGGTGTGGCATGCTGTATATCTTATCAAGGCTTATATAAATACTGATTTTTGTGTGTGTGTCCGACTCGTTTTATGTGTATTATTTTCGTATTCTTATATATTCTTGTTCGTAACCGTTATTTTTTTCATCGGCTTTATGTATCATTTGTATTTGTGTTTTCATTTGAATTCCATGTATTTTATATTGAAGCATCTCATTGCAAAATTAGCTTCCATTGGAACAATTAATATTTTTCATATATTTATTTTTTTCTTTTCTCTGAGTTTTCTTTTCTTTTCTTTTTTTCTTATAGGTATACCATTTTGTAATTCTGTAATCATCCAGTTAGTTTCATCTTAAAGGTTTCGTCTTATTTTTCCTTTCATTTATTTATCTTATTGATATATTTCTTCATCTTTAATTGTCTTGACAGTTACTATGCCATCAGAGAATTGTAGTTGAGATAAGTGATTCTGAAACATATTTCTTACTTCTTCTACTGCATTTTTTTTTTTTTTTTTTTTTGGTCAGATATTTTTTATGATAAGTTTTTTCCTCTTTCCTTCCTTTCTCCAATGCAGTTCCATTCTTTTTTATATCATTCTCGTCTCTTTTTATTTTTCATTTTCAAAAATGTAGCTATATTTGGTTGTATTTAAACAAAATATTTTTATTTCTTTGCACATTTATTTAAAGACTCAAAATTTGAACTCCCAAATATTACAAAAATGTACATACAAGCACACGGTGGAACTATTTGCTATGACAAACTTATGTCCATAAGAGTACATTAAGAGCTATCATGATCATGACGTAATAATAATAATGATGATAATAAGAATGATGATAATAATAATAAAAATAATAATAATGATAATAATAATAATGACAGTTATAATGACGGTAATAATAATGACATAACAAACAGTTCGCCAGACACTGGGCTAAATATTAATTATGACATCGAGATCTAGCCATGAGTAATGAGAGATGAGTAATGGCGATGACTGTGGTCCTCGGGGGGGTGAGACTGCATGAGGCGATGAATACTGAACTAGGTACATCACTAGGCTCTCGCCCAGGCGGGACTACCTGTGGTAATCCCGCCCTCACAAGCTGGGCGGGGCGGGCGGCCAGTATTGGGTCCACCTGGGGCGGCCCGAGTTTAGGGCGGGTTTAGACTGGCGCCCGCCCCCTGTACATGACTGCTGCTGCGGGTGGGTCGGGAGCAGGCAGCAACGCCCCTGCTACCATCACCGGTGAGGCGCTGCACGCGCTGACCCACGTCGCTACGTGCTCCAGGACCCTCCCGCACGCTGCGGCAGCTGCTGCGTCCTCTTCCTCCATCTTAACGCTACCGCTCCTCTCCTCGTCCTCTTGTCGCTGCTGCTGCTCGCGCTGTCCTCTTTCTGTCCGCCTGAGAGTGAGAATATCGGGGCCACACAGTGGCTTTGTACTCGGGTAAGCGCAGGCCAACCTTGCATTACGCTTCCATGGCGAACTCCCGTGGCGTCGGCGGCGGCGTCTTTTTGGAAAGGTTGAGCGGTTGCGAGTCAGCGATGTCGACCTGCAGTTCGACAAGGGGGGAAGGCTCCCTCTGGCTGGGCTGAGCACCCAAGCCTGAATGTATCATGGTAGAAGCACTTGGAGAGCCAGACGGCTGTGCCCCAAGCCCCACCGGTGTGGCCGACATCCTCGACTCGTAGTAGCGCGAGGGTGTGGGTGTTGTGAGGAGGTGCAGCCGTGGCTGTGCGGTTACGGTGGGCTGCATGGGGCTTAGGCTACCGCTAGTGCTGCTGCTGCTGCTGGTGCTGCTACTGCTGCTGCAACCGCGAGAGGCTGGGCACGACCAGGAAGATGCTGGAGGCTGTACACGGTCCACAGCGGGCTGCGGAACGTAATAAGGTGCAGGTGACACTCGCGGAGTGGGTAACCGCTCCCGAACCTCAGTGCGCATGATCATGGAGTGCAGGATGTCGGCGCGGCGCATTGCATCCTCGGAGATCTTGGATCCCTCGAGCAGGGTGCGAGCGAGAGTGGAGTGGGAGGCAGCTAAGCTCGGCGAGCTAAGTGTTGACGCCAGAGTGGAGGCTAAGGTGGCGTGCGTTGCAGCCAGAGAGGAGGTCTGGTGATGCGGGGGCTGCGACAGCGTCTGCTCCAGGAGCGAGGAGGTGGGCTGGGAGGAGTGGGGCTCTTCTTCCCGACGTTGCGGACGGAACTTTTTATGGGGCTTGTTGTAGGCTTCCTCCATGAGCAGATCCGTGTTGATAATGGGGGGCGCCTGCAGGGCGCGGCGCAGCACTGGCATGTCATCCTCGCGGTCCTCCTCGCTCTTCTCGTCAATGGATGATCGCGGCGAAGAACACACCGACGGGGAGGACAGCTTGTCACTCCTGTCAGTCCCGCTTTCAATTCCCGAGTCGTCTGGGCTGTCCGATTTTCTTTTGCTGAAGGGGCACTTCAGAGGAGATTCGGACGCCTCGTCACCCGATGAAGCACCTTCGGAGTGGTCGTGGCGCCGGCGGACGAGGGGGAAGGGAGGGCGGAGCTCCGTGTAGCCAGACACTTCACTTCCGCACAGCGATTCGCCGGAGCTGGCGGATTCGCCGGAGCAGATGGATTCAGAGCACGACACTGGGGAGCGCATGGCCTCGTCGGCGGTGTAGGAAGATGAGGGTGAGCCCACGCTGCTCTCTTGTTCCATGCTCCAGGAGGAGCGGGAGTCGTCCCACGGAGCGCCGGCTGCGGTGTGCTCAGTCATCTTGTATTTGAGCAACTTCTCTGAATGCAGTGTGTTGAGAGTCCGCAAGTCGGGGATCTTGGAGAGGAGGTCGCGCTGTAGGCTGGGGTTCTCGGGGTGATGCTTGGTCACAACAGCCCGAAGGCAGTTAATGAGGCGCCTCTGCACGCGATCAACGAGCTCAGCATTGCGCAGGCCCGGGCGGTCGGGTGACAACACAACCACGGCGCAGAAGAGCGCCAGCTCAGCGTCGCTCAAGGAGAGGCTGTTGACACGTTCAGCGAAGTCGAACATTGAATCCATGAGGAAGCGAGCGTTGACTGAAGTGTGAAGGGCCTCTCGGCGCAGCAGCTGACCGTTCAGGCACAGCATGGTGTTGGTGCGGGCGTCGAACATCCCCGCCAGACGCACCAAGAGCACCTCGAAAACGCCCGCCTTCAGGAGTGTCACTTGGTCCTCCTGTGGCAGCTGTTGGAAGCCTGGCAGACGTTTGGCAAATTCCACGACGCCGCGGATGGCGGGAGAGAAGCGCTCGCTGAAGTCTTGCACGAGCTCCTGTTGTCCCTGCAGGGGCACTGGTCGTGGGTTCAACGGGCACGCCTGAGGAAGAAAGAGAGAGAAAGGTTAATTATTTGTTACAACTGTTACTGCTATATGCAATATGAAAGTGCAATATGTATTTCAGGTAAAGCTGGGGTCGTCGGGTAAAAAGATCCTATTCCCCGAATCAACTCCTAACCCCCAATCTCTTGCAAATAATTCCCTCCAAGTATATTTAGTCTGAGTTTTGTGTAGCTAACTGACAGGTGTTCACGTGTTCGCTTTCAAATACCGCCACAGGTAACCTAATGCCATACTGGTTTCGTCAAGATCCTGTACTAGCTACTGCCGACGGGATCGATTAATAAAAGCTTGGACGCACATGCACACTCGAGCGCGGTCTGGCCATCTCGGTATGAAAGCCCCAGACGGCGCCGGTTGCCGCCAAAGCAAGTGATCGATTAAGATCATACAACAACCCCTGTTCCCTCCGAAATCAAGTTACGAAATACGTGCGATGAAGTTTTAAATGAAAATTAGAGAGAAATTCGTCCGTTACAGTCGTTATCTCTCTCACATTTTCACCCCCCCCCCTTCCTCGCCGTATTAAGCGAAGTCACAAGGTTTGCAGATGCCCTTCAAATACCCTCTGATAACCCAGTGTTTACGCCCGTCCTTCAAACAACCTACGATAACCCTTAGGAGGCGGGAGGGGAGAGGAGTGGGGGGAGAGGTACAGCAAGCTCCGACACCCCACCCCCACTCACCGGTTTGATTTTTTTAACCAAACATCGTCCATGTCGATTCGCAACCCGCCACAATTTTAAACTGACGCGCCACGTGGTGATGACACACTAAACCCTCATGCAGCAGGAGACGCAGCCAAGACCACCGCGACCTATCAGACCTATATAGTAATTATTGGGGTGATTGGTTTCATCTACAGTGTAACCCGCAGTCCCAGCTCACCTCCCCCCCCCCCCCTTCGCATGCCCTCCACCCTTGCCAACAATGTATCCCGAGGAGCCAGACGGCGCCGGGTTAAACCTTTCGTGGATCTTTGTCTCCCCCTCGGCCACCTCCTACTCCAAAGCCGGGATCTGTGCGGCTTTCTGCAGCGCCATACTCGACTTCCTCCAGACATCGAGTAAGGCGTGCCACGTGGTCGGGTATGCTAAACGTTTGCTTGGCGTTATACATAGTAAAGGTCGGAATACGCGGCAATATGCGAGGAATCTGCACGTGGGCCGCGTCTTTACCAGCTCGACCTTGGCCACGCACTCGCTCCCTCTTTTCTTCTCTCATCCTTGCCCCGCTCAGTCACATGTTTGGCAAATGAACAGCGTTTCGGTAACTCCACGTCATCACTCGGCAATCTAGCCAATAATACAGAGTCACATTGAGCTCAACGTAACCAAACAACACCGGCGTTTGTTGCTACACCAACGCCTTCCCCTCTCTCTCTCCCCTTCCTGTGATACCCCCCCCCCTTCCCTCTCTCCCTGTCCTCCCTCTCCCTCTGATCACACTTTTCCCTTCTCCTGCAACGCCCAACACCCAGGTCATCCAGATGCCCTTGCCCACGCCACCCGCCAGAGGGGGAACAGAGGAAATTGTTGACGGTTTACCGCCAACTAAACATTTGGGCTTTCCATTGTCCTACAAATGGCAGACTCGGCGATGATTTTGAAAGTGAAAATTGCTCGTGGCTTAGCTTCTGGCCATTCAATTCGATATCAGAATCATTATTACCTATTTGATGATTGTTTTATGCAACTGGAGGTCATGGCATCCATTGGAGAGGGCCTCGCACACATTTGGCTGTTTATTCGCCCCCTTTTTATTACTTTCGAGCTATTTTCGTGAAGCTGGCAAAGAGGGAGAAAAAATGAATTCGCCTGGCATGTTCTATGACTGGTTGGCAAAGGCGCCGGGTGTTTGGAGGGTAAATTTGGCGGGCTGAGTGACCTTGAAAGAGCGCGGGCCTCACCAAGGCCGCTCTTCCAATCCAACTTACTAGTATTTTAGTTTGGCTAAATGATGGTTCTTTTCACATCATAAGTATTGCCATCATAAAATAATCCCTAATTCGGAGGCAATTTAACTCATGACTCACGAGAACAACGCAAAACAAACAAGGTTTCCGCGCAAATAATTGGAGAATATGGCGAAATGTGGACACTCGCTCCCCCAGCATCGACCGTACCGTGAGACTTACGTCAACTTCAGCGGTCGCCACACTACCCGTCAATTTCTGCTCTTACTTCGTATTACCCTAAAATTAAACTCACTTAGACATAATTAAACGGTCTGGCAGATGGCAGTTGACCTAATACGAGCTAATTATGCAAGCATAGGCGATCGGCTATGCAGAGTTTTTTGCGGAAGCCCCAATGAATGAAGACAGGTTTTCCACCAGGGGGAAGCCATAAACCCACTCAGACAGGCCTCGCAAATGTGTATAATTAGGAGAGTTGGAGTAAACCAAGGTCGGGGGGACAGGTGAGAGATGAGCCCACGTGCTAATTACGCCCCATCACGGCAGCATAGTGTCACGGGGTCTCGATCGGGATGCAGTCCAAGTGGGATTTTGCTTTTATTGTCATCGTTGTATTTATCAGACGAGAACCTCTATTTCGATGGAGTAAATTAACTGTGTAAGAATAATGATGAACTTCATTAATTTGCGAACAATATGAAAATCAGGGAAGTCCCTTGTGCTGCGTGTTAACTCCTGCCATTGAATTTCCCCTTTTCAGGGAAGCTCTGGCAACACGCCCTTCCTCAGGAAATCCCATTGCAATACACAACTCACAGTGAGGCAGCCGTGACGACCAATATAACATTGAAGGGCGCCGTTATGACTTCTTATCTCTTACATAACCACAAGCGCCCCTTATCTCCAGCGAACACAGCGCCCAGTTCCCGCCCAAAACGTCTTTGTGTGGCGCTGCAACACCCCCCACGTAGGGAGGGGAAGAGATACAAGGCGGGAAGGTACAACATCTGGGCGAGGAGGAGGAGGAGGAGGAGGAGGAGGAGGGAAAAGGGAGGGCTAAGTCTCATGCTGTAAATGAAGATGGGTTAAGGATGCCATGTGGTAGTAGAGAGAGGCGGGAGGCAGCCGGGTAATGAGGGAGAGGGAGGGTGAATTAACAGCTAAAAGGTAGAGAGTAAAAAGAGCGTCCAGATGGGGAGCTCGAGGGTGAGGGGCGAACGTAGGGGGGAGGGGGCACGGTCTGATAGGGGGGCGGGGGACACACACGGGAGCTACCACGTGACCTGTCCCTTCTTTATGTAACTTTAACCCCTCCTCCCCTCGCCCCTTCCTTCCCCTTCTCCTCTTTCCTCAGCTGCTTAAATTGGACTTTTAAGAATCACCCACGAAGACTGTTAACATTAATAATACCCTTGGTGTATTCCCTTCGCGGCAGGCCAATTTATTCATATGTTGATTCTTTTCCCCGAGAAGTTTCAGAACTCGATATATTCACAGTCACGACGGGATATCAATGTGAGATACAAATAAAAATAATTGACTTTAATTGTGGAATTAGGGAAGCGGGTAGTAGGGAGTGGCGGGGGCAGTTTGTGTAGGTGTAAGATGTCCAAAGGTGAGTTTTCAAGGGCGATATAGCGACCAACACATCCCACATGCAACCTTGAATTCCCTGTCGCCAAGTGTCAATCAGCGATAGCAGCTTTTACTTTTTCAACTTCTCAATCCTTTCACTTTCTGGCGTTATCTTGCTCTCCCTTCTTATCGCTGAGGCCCGAAAAATGGGGATTTGCTTCCCGCCCCGCCTTGCAAGGCCCTTCGGCGGCGACACACGGATTTAATTCTTAATGAAGTGGCGGTGCTGTCTCGCCAGCAGGTCGGCCAGGGCTCCATCTCGCCGCCGACTTCGCAACCTTGGGCGTTTCCGATGCGCATTTGCTAATTCGGAATACCTAGTAAACGACCCGTGGGGTTGTATACAAGATTCACCCCAACGCACGCTCCTCGGCATCGCAACCTCATTACCTTCATGGTCCCTGTAAGAGGCCATGGTTGTGATGAGGGCCGGCTAACAGACCGAAAACAGGCGCATTCGTAATTCGCGTGTCCCCCGTGTGTTTGTGACGGGGCGATGGAAGGCGGGGGAATGGAGCTTTGTTGAAGAGGGAGGTAGGGTGGGGGCAGGAGGGGTACTGACTGGGCTCAAGTACGCCCTCTACGCGACCTAGTCCAAGGTTACGTGTGACGTCACCCGGGCCAGGGAGCCACACGCGCACTCACTCACACGCATACATCGCAGCCAATGCTTTCCCTGGCATTTCCGTATTAAGGAAGCTAGCTAATTAGCACCGGATATTCTGTACCAGGAACTTAAACGTTATGATAGTAAGACACCGACTCCAACGCCCTTCTCGGTCGCGGCAAGGCAAACGCAAGCATAACGACATGGAGAGTGTTAGAGTAGAGAGTGTTAGAGCATTTACAAGATCATGTTTCAGGTTCGGACTCACGCGTTATGTCACCGAAACAAGCCATGACGTCAGAGTAAATCCTCTCATACGAGGAATCTCAATAAATTTCTCATCAGTTTCTATGGCTTCCCATATTTTCTCGACTGCCGTGCATGCATTCTCGCCCAGCCACATTACGTTTAAAGAGCCTGAAAACTCGTTCATTACTTTCTACCTTGAGGAGAATGGTGGCGAGTGGGGAGGTGCCTACATGCATCCTTGTGCTGAAGGGGGGAGGGTGCCTCTGCCAGGTTATGCAACATGAAGTGGCCTTGGGAGTGGGGTCTGGTGCATTTACGTCACCCGGGAGTTATTTTCGAGATTCAAGCAAATGCCTGCTTGGACTCTACGTCGCCTGCGACAGGTCACGAAACCTTTCCATTACAATTGTATCGCTTGACATGTGAAGATTTATTAAGTAAAAAGGCCCGATATAGATTATTCCTCGCACGAATGCACATTCAGGACGACACCCGAGGCTTGCAACACTCGATCGGTTGAATATGCTCCCTCCCCTTCCCCTCGCCGCCCCCTCCCCACCTGACCGTGACCTTGGATGACCGCCTAGCTCCGGCCCGCACTGAATTCGTCATCACGATGGAGCGTCGAGTCATGGCTTAAGAGCTAGTGTTGCTTATTTGCTGCCTTGCCCTTTTTGTTTCACGCACTTCTGGCTCCGCTCTCTCTCTCTCTCTCTCTCTCTCTCTCTCTCTCTCTCTCTCTCTCTCTCTCTCTCTCTCTCTCTCTCTCTCTCTCTCTCTCTCTCGTCTAAACAAATCATGACTAATAGCAATCACGTTTACATCCACGAGTCTATCATGTGACAGAATCATGACGTATCAAACAGTACCGAGCCTTTGCCAGCGCGGGCTCACTTATCACTGCTATCAGTATCTCGCCGCGGCTTCCTGAAGATAGCGGGGCGTGAACTTGAACTCGCCTGACCTTGGGCCTGGTGTGTGATAGCGCTGTGGAAGTCAGTGGCGTCGTTACATTACCTGATATTTTTTTTTATGTCGAGATACTTCTTAAAAGTTAAAATGCAAAGAACAAAGTCGCATTATTACTGACTGAACGGGATCACACGTCTATCCCCATCCTCCTCCTTAACCCCCATCCCCCCTCCAAGCCTATCCTCACAGTATCCTGTTACCCGAGGATCTGTGTACGTGATACGGGTTTCCTGAGGAGTGTCTGGCCCAAACTTGCGAGGACATGGGAACATCCTGAGCGCCTTATTAAGGGCGTGTGAGTGTTTCTGTGGTCTCCTGCATCCTCTTCCCCGGTCCGCTACGCTTCCTCTCCGTCCTTCCCTCCCCTCTGCGTTCCCACCGACACATACAACATCCGGCCCACACCCTATATTCTGATATCCTGTGCCTGTGCATCCTCCCTCTAGATATCCTATATACTGAAGACTCGTTGTGTGATTAATATCTCCCCTTGTCACCTAACTTCCGAGACCCCGAATGGATAGAATAAAAAAGGCTAGATTTCATCTATCATAAAGATACTTACCAGAGTAGGCGGGCACTGTGTGTAGCTGGGGTGTGTGCGAGCTTGCTGGTGCATGGGTGCCACCTTGTCCCTGGTGAAGTCACAGGTGTCCATGTGGGCGCGGATGATGGCAGCGGTGACGCGGGTGTCATCCTCCAGCTCTTGCAAGACGGCCCTCTCCTGGGACCTGGCGTTGACGCTCTGCATGGCGGCCAGGATCTTGGCCTTCTCGCGTTTAGGCACACGCCCGAAGCGCACAGCTGCGAAGGAGAAGAGGAACATGTTAGCTGGATCCATCACTGACACAGAATACAAGCCTATCTTTTCATGGGTTATTTTCAGCCCCACTTAGATGTCTGTCTAACACTAGATTTATATCAGAATAAAAGCGATGATTGCATGGAATGAGAATGAGAATGAGGATGAAACGATTTCTAGTATCAATCACCGTGGCCGCGAGAGCCGAAGCCTTACAAGCATGTAGGCCAAACGAGGGGACGCCACGTTCATTTTGTCAGAGTTACTCTAAGAGAAACAAGTTCATAAAATTGAGGGAAAATTACAAACAAATTTCAAATTCGCATTGATATTCACTGATATGCCGATCACCCCCTACACTACATCAGGTAAGGAAGGGCATGGACCCTCGGCTCGCTCACTCGCAGCCTCCCCTCGGACGCTCGGCCGACGACCCTCGGCACATGGCGTTACACGTGGCGCCGACCTCTACACTCATTTCACTCTTTCATTTTCTCTAAAATCATATTCATAAAATTCCAACTTTTCAAAATTCAGAGTGAAATCTTCGTTTAATTTTATTCGGTAACTCCATTTATAAGCTCCATTACATTTAATCGCCGAATGAGATCAATGTTAAATTGAACAAGTTTTCAAATGAGATTTCCGTATCGCGAAAACCGTTAAGGGGAAAAAAAACAATCGAAATAATCGACTGTATGTACAAGCGTACCGGCAGGCTGTGTCACGTTTCCCCAGCACGAGATGAACACCTGCCTTATTGATCCCTCGAAATTTCCCCCACTCACGGATGCAGAGTCCCCTACGGTGTGGGTCAGTCGGCATGAGGTTATTGCACTGCACCGCTTATAATCTCCAATCAGTATTACTTGATGTTTCCCGAAGCTTTTTCTGAAGGGTCACGTGTCCTCCTTGCAACAAGCAAGAACCCAAGCAGCCCACCCTTACTCGCTTCCCCTCATCCTCAAGCACGAGGTAGTGTGACACTTACTCATATAGTGTGGCGCCACTCCATGTTGTAGAAGTCCTTTAAGTATGGGTAAATCCTCTTCAGGCATTTTCATTTGTGTTGGATTGTGGTAACGGAGTGTAAATCCACGGGGCTGTTACACCACCCTCGGTTACTAGTCGTGACTAATACAATGTCACACTAGTAACAATCATTCGATCACTGTAAGTAAGAATCACATCCAAGGCACAGGATCTCCGCTAATGTGTGGCTATCACAAAGCACAAGTAACACCAGCTGTAGTAATATATCCACGTAGTAATGTAGTGCGCGGTGTGTAAGTAAGTAAGGTGTGGAGTAACACGCGTTCCCTCCACCCGTCTCGTAGCTCGTTCAGTGAGCGACTGAGAGAGTATGTGTGTACGAGGCAGGTCGAGGCGGCAGCTCTCCGTGGTCCGCCAGCCGACATCGCTCCGCCGACACCAACACCCGCGCACACGACTTTCACCCGCCCGGCACCACCCAGACGCGCTCACTCTTACTTAAACTACCGTCGCTTTCATTGTCATTATCGACTGCATGACATATTCGCTGCACTCGACACTTTCTACAATTCTTACTGCTCCCCCTGGTGGCGAAATCGCGCTCGAAATCTGCATGGCGGCTGTGGAAAGGCAATCCCACGTATAGAATAAAACCCCGCTCAGCCTTGAAGCCATAAGGTTGAAATTCCGGGTGCAACGTAAGCTGCACGCGTCTGCCTTGGATGCGGCCTTACTGATGGTCACCTTCAGATCTACGCCGTCCTCACAGCCACAACTCCGGAAATGGGAAGTAGATAGATGCAGGTATATGTTACTTCCGCATAGGCCCGCCGGATGCCCTACGTGACAACTACGTGCAGTTAGTGAGGGCGCGGGTAGGGGTGAGCATTCGCGGAAGGGGGTGGGGGATAATCTGAGACACACGTGGCAGAGAGGTAGTGTGGGGCGGGAGGCACGTGCTCTACACACCCATTGTTGTCGGCCACAGGTCGGGAGAGCTACCTCTAACCATTCTAAATCTTGTGCCTATATGAAGTAGCGAGATCTTTGTACGCCATTGTTATAGTACACACACTATGCATGCAAAAGTCTACCTCACGCTGTCATTCTCCTGGCTAACGCAATGTTCGCATCTCTTGCCTTCATTCTCCCCTCGCTCTCGTCTGGTGTTCCCCTCACTTCCTTTCCAGCCTGCTTTTGCCGCTCCCCTCTTCCTCGTACTCCCACTCCGCCCCTCCTCCGCCCCCGCCCCGAAACGCGACTCGGCTGATCGTTAAAAGGTCTGTGAACCCTGCTTGGCTCGCTGGCGTAAAGGGGAAACACACCGAGGAGAGTGAGGGGAGTGAGAGAGAGGGAGAGCGACTTTTTTGTGGTTAGGCGAGGGGAACCAAGGGGTTTGACGAGCTTAAGCGCGAAGGGTCACCTGTTTTCGCTGGCTTTACTCGCGTTCCAAAGAGTTTTCGATGAATTTATTGCTCTCGTTTTGAAAATTCCTCGAACCCTTGTACTCCTCGCGAGACGACCGCGATTTCCACTGCGCTAGTGAAAATAAATACAATG